ACCACATACTTACAGACCTTCAGTTCTGTGAGGAAACAGTGCTTGTTATTTACATTAGTTGGATTTTCAGGTATTTACAACCAAACATACCCTATAGAATACAGGATGCAAACATATGAACTAGATTATTCCAAACCTGCCTTAATGGTTTCTCCAGCCTTTTGTGGACTTCCTGCATTCCTCTTGGAGACAATCATCTGGAGGCTGTCTGTGATCCACCCTCGCTCAGAGCTCAGACTCTTCTCCCTTCCCCATGTGCTACAAGAGTCTGGATTATCCTGATGATCACCTTATCTTTGATGTTGGGGAGAACAGGCAAAGAATAAATTTGTAGCAGTAATAAATAGACCCAAAAGCCTATTTTATGGGAAGTAGTTATGATACTAATAATTTACAGGTAAAATTCTGATTAATTTATTCCTGCTATCCAACCCAAAGTTCTGAAGCTCTGAGGAGTTCTGAGAAATGTCCTATAGGCTCATGTTTTAAAGACAAAGAGATAAATCTTTCTTCTTTTTTTAAATGACTTTTAAACATGTTTTCCCCTTCATATGGAACAATTTGAGATGCTCTGTATCATGAAACAACAATAGTGAATGATGAGTGGAGATCAAATCGCAGGTCCACGATTCAGTTGCATGGGTGGTTTATGACTCAATTGAATGCCACGTACCAGAGTGATGTGGCCAATATATAGTTTTATATCTCTTATTCTTAGTCATATGTTGTTTAAATTAAACCAATAGTGGACTACTGATGAAAGAAAGCATATAGAAGAATGTTAATAAATTTGGGGCCGGCCCGGTGGTGTAGTGGTTAAGTTCGCACGCTCCACTTTGGTGGCCTGGGGTTCACAGGTTCGCATCCCGGGCGCGGACCTACACACCACTCATCAACCCATGCTGTGGTGGCATCCCACATACAAAAAAAATGGAAGAAGACTGGCACAGATGTTAGCTCAGCGACAGTCCTCCTCAAGCAAAAAGACGAAGATTGGCAGCAGATGTTAGCTCAGGGCCAATCTTCCTCATAAAAAAAAAAAAAAGACTGTTAATGTATTTCAACAATTCAGTATCTCAGTAAACATATGTGTCTGACTATGGGGAGTACATTGAGAGGAAAAGTACAAATTAAACTTTGCAATTGAATGAAACAACTATTATTGCTAATCCAGCCATTTTCATATAAGGTCCACAATGCCTTTTCTGCAACTCTAAATTTCAAAACATTTTCCACTTCTTCTTCTTTTGTTGTTGAGCAAGATTCGCCCTGAGCTAATATCCGTGCCAATCTTCCTCTATTTTTTAGTATGTGGGCCTCCAGCACAGCCTGGCCCCTAACAGAGCAGTGTAGGTCTGTGCCTGGGAACCAAACACAGGCTGCCAAAGTGAAGCGTGCTGAACTTAACCACTAGGTCACCAGGGCTGGCCCCCCAAAACCTTTTCTAGTGAAAAGCTTCTTTCTGTATTATGTATCTGCAAAACTCACCTGAACTAACAAGGCTATTTACACTTTGTCTTTCTCCAACCTAGTGTGACTCTTTTTTTTTTTTTTTTTTTTTT